CCAAACATTGTTCCTGCCCTTTAGTGGATGAGAAAGTAGGTTTGCAGGCCTTAGGTTGCTCTGTTTGCTCAGGACAAGTTCTGTTGGCACTGATGGCTCAGCAGCTGCCCATGCCCACTCTTTCCTGAGTAGATGTATGGACTTGAACAAACTCTCTATCCTTTACAGGGGAAATCTGGGGGACTGGCAGTAGGGTCTGCATCTTTTCATCCCAGTGTCACTGATGTTGGTGTGAGCCCAGGATGGGCAGGACAAGGAGCTGTTGGTACCTGATTGCTCTGCTCTCCTCTCCAGGTGTTGACCAGTGGTCAGAGTTCATGGCCTGCAAGGGTTGACACCCTAAAACCCATCAATCTCCTGCTCTTAAATGCTCTTCCTACCCAAGGACTTAGTCTGGCCTAGGCTAAGGACTGGGCTCAGGCACTGACAATGCCCCTTCACTTGAGATTTGGACCATCCAGCAAATGAGATCATCATGAATTTCTCTAAAAGGAATAAACTATGAAATTTTAATCAAAATTTAGGGGTACCACATGTCCTTCTTGACACCATGAAGAGCAGAATCTCAGAGGGGGATGCTTCTTGCTCTTGTAATTCTGAAAATTAGACTGTCAGCTGCTGTGCTTTGCAAACCCAGAGTCATAACAGTTGCTTTTGGAATTCTCATCTCACAATTGTTTCCAAGCCTTTCCCAAATTTATTGAGCCTTAAAACATCTTGCCAAGCACTTTCCAAATGACTCTGGAATTTAATGTCTTGTTTGTTTTAGGGAAAGTGTAATTTATGAAGTTTCAGTATTTCGCTAGATAAAAATATATTTACAGAAAGAAAGGACCATTTTCTACCTCCTTCTACACCAGCTGACATTTTGGCTTTATCTTAGATATTAAAATAAAATAAAAATCTCAGCTTGTTCTTGTTTATTAAAAAGAAGGTCTATTACTATTTAAATACTTCAAAAAAGAATTTAAGAAAGGAAATAATAGCTTAACCTTAAAATTCATGAGGAACAGTAAAACCTGTTATTTATCTTTAGCTCTGGGGGTGCTTTAGGACCTACCTGGGTCTCTTCAATCCTGGAACTTTTGAGATGATTTAAGCCAGGGCAAAGCGATTAAAGAATAGGAACTCAACAAGAAAACATTTTAGACCTATTTTGCATGCAAGAGTGAAAAAATTCTGGAGACCTGGGTCCTGTTTGCCTTAACAGATTTCATTTATTTCCAAAATCAAACAGGACTCATCTGCTGAGTTACCAGGATTTGTAAGTGTCTGCTGCATCTGTCCCAGGTCCTCACACTTGGAAAGGTGAAGAATTGGTCATAAATGGGCTCAATTGCACCAATTAAGAATTTGGCCTAGAAGGCCAAGGTTTGTGATGTCCACAAGCCAAGTACTTGTGGTCCTGCAGTTCATGAACTCCTGCACAAGAGCTGAGAGATCCGAGTTCCTGTGCTCAGGGTTTCCTGGGGAGGAGCCTGAGCTGATGGCTGTCCCCTGCCTGTCCCCTGCCTGTCCCCTGCCTGTCCCCTGCCTGTCCCCTGGGTGCCCATGCTGTCCCAGGGTGTCCCTGGGTGCCAGTTATCTCCCACTGCCCAGGCAACGTCTCTGCTCCGACATCCAGCTTTGCTTTTGCGAACCCTGCACCAGCTCCACGTGTTCCTGTTGGGAACGACCTTGTCTGGTGTTCCCTTAATTATAAACTCCGTGGGGAAAAGGGAGATTTGCAATTATTAAGCTGAGTTCCCAAACTATTGGGAACTACACAGAGGCCGCAGAGTAGACTCAGCTCTGTTTTGAACCAGGTTAGTCTCCAGAGCTCGTCTCGCTGTAATATTGCTTAAAAACACAGCTGACTTAATTATGACATAGTTAACATTCATCTAGTAATTAATGAGCATTACAGTGTCTGCTCTGGGCTTGACAGGGTTCCTACTGTGAGCTCATTTGATGGTGGATTGTACTGTACCGTGTGCTGTGCTTTGCCAGTCATCAGTCTTACGTGACACTTAAAAATCTCTGACAACCCGACGATCTCCGCCTGGGCCGAGGAAATTACAGGATGTCCCAGCACATGGGAACCGAACAAAAAGATCGGTCAGTTCAAATCCTCGTAATGGCCTATTAAATTGTTTTACTGTTCAGCTTCTCTGTAAAATATCAATTATCTCAATGGTTGTAATGTAATCAAAGTAATTAAATTCCAAAGGCTTGCATGTAAAAACCAGAGCTTTGTAAATGGGAATCCAGCCTCGAGTAGTTTAGTTGGTCTGTTTGTGTTTAAAAGTTTCTCCAGATGACTTTTTTTTTTTTCCTTCTCCTTTTAATGGTGTGTTACAGTTAGGGAACTGTTAAAGGGGTTTGTGTGTTTGAGGTTTAGGGTGTGTTTTGAGCTTGGCTGCACACAGCATTTGAACAATTGAATAAGCAAAGCCTGTGTTAGAGCCCAAACGCGGGGACGCGGCACATGCCGGATGAAAAGCCGGCTGGTCCGGAGCCGTGGGAAGCAGGGACAGCCTCGGCTCCAAGTCCTGGGCCTGGCTCCATCTGCTTAAGCGTCCTCAGCTGATGGATAATTGCAGCTTACCTTTCCCTAAGTTCTGAACGACGTCTCTGGAGCACTTCAGATGTGGAACTTGGAAAATATTCCCCTCGTAGGTTTGTCACGTTCAGGATCTCGCCTCCGGTAACGTGTTTTACAAGAGGTAGGAAAGAGCTAAGGAATGACTTATGACAGGAACATTTTCCCTGTTGTTCCTCCTGGTGTAGGGAGAGCTGCTCCTTCCGTAAGTTTTATTTTGGTTTGTTTCAGTGGATCTTCTCCCTTCGATTTCATCAGAACTGAATCAAATCCTATTTTTGTCGGGGCCAAAATTACTTTGCTTGCCGTGACTTTCTGAAATGATTGGTAATTTTGGGGTGCACCATTTTCAACTGTCCTAACAATTGGTGGGTTCCAATTTATAGAAGGTGCTAAACATGCACACCTGGAAAGTTGACTTTAGTAGGATTGAATAGCTGGATTTGCAGCCTTTTGGGCCATAGTCCAGGAAATGAAGTGACCTAATAGCCACCTTCCAGTACCTAAGGGGGCCTAAAAAAAGATGGAGAACAGCTATTTGAAAGAGCCTGGAGTGACAGGAAAGGGAGGAATGGCTTCAAACTGCCAGATGGCAGGGTTAGATGGGATGTTAAGAAGAAATCCTTCCCTGTGAGGGCGGGGAGGCCCTGGCACAGGTTGCCCAGAGAAGCTGTGGCTGCCCCATCCCTGCAAGTGTCCAAGGCCAGGCTGGATGAGACTTGCAGCAACCAGGGCTAGTGGAAGGTGTCCCTGCCCATGGCAGGGGGGTAGAATGAGATGATCTTTGGGTCTTCCAACCCAAACCATTCTGTGATTCTGTGACATCCTCTGTAATTCATGGCAGACAATGTTGTACTGAAAGCAGCACCCCCAAGGTATGTGTTTCTGTCTCTGTGCTTCGTGTAATCAACTTCCAGAGGCACAGACTCACTTCAAAGAGTATTTGTAACTCATTTTAAAAAGCAGTGAGATGGGTCTTTTATACCACTACTGGATTTATAAGCCACTGGAAACCACCTACATGAAATCTAATGGAGCATTCCCTCACTGGTGATAAGATAGAGGGGAAAAAAAGGCTTTTTTGCAAACTGAGATTATTAATATTTGCAAGGCAGCGCCGGTGTAAGTTGGGCTGTTTGAGACAAGAACTAGGCATGCACAGCCCCAAGGAGCAGATGGAGAGGAGATGTGAACCATGAAGCTGTTCAGAGGACACAATGACTTGTTCTTTGTTGGAGCCCAAGCAGCCACTGGAGAAGAAATGAGTGTCTGGGGAAGAATTGAAATATATTAACCTGTGTGCAGAGAAGTGTTGCTGTTTCTGTTTCTCTCAAATCACTAAGAAAATGCTGCACTCGTGGCTCCAGTTGAGAAGTAGTTTCCATAGAGAAAGAGCTCATGGAAGGAGGGAGATGCAAAGAAAGTGTTAATGCCAGAGCAGAGGGTTTGGGAGCTGGGGAAACAAAAGGAAAATCCAGGAATGCTCATAATGTGCAACAGCCTTGGGGGATTTTTTGTGTCTTCAGACAAAATTAGTGAAGGGAGTTTAGTCTGAGGGCCTCCTGGAAGCTCTCTGAAATCAGCACATAAGCTGCTCCTGCCTCAGTAAGCCCTGTGCTGTGTCCCAGGGAGAGCTGTGGAAATGTGGTGCTTCCACAGCTCCTTTTTAATTGGAAGAGTAGCTAATTGGTGTGAACAGAGTTACTTGATCAAACTGCTTAAAAGTTTCTGCAGTTGGTTTGAAGGAGTAAGAAGTTCTCCGTCTCCTGCCACCTCATTAGCAGCTTCTGCCAGTTCTGCTGCCCGCCCAGGTCCATGATGGAGTTTCTCCCGTGCCAGGAGCAGTTCCCTCCCTCCCACAGTGGGCAGGCAGAGAGCTTAGCCATGCTCCAGGCTCCCAGGGTGCTGGTGTGTGCCCAGGTTCTCAGGAGGAGCAGCTTATCCTCCTTTTGTGGTGTCACTGAGCGGGGCTCTCTGTGTCTGTTCGAGTGGCTCTGCCCAGTGGCTCTTTTCCTCTCTGGATGCACCAACTCTGGAACCCAGGACTAGAATCAAGAGGCTTCCAAGAAAACAGCCTCTTGCCCAACTGAGCTCCATTCCCACCAATTCCCTCAGGTAGAGACTGAGTTGGTGCAGAAACAAATTAGAGGTGGTTCATTAGGAGGAAGTGACTTGCTGAAATGCTTTGCAAATTAAGTGTTCCAAACCCAGACAATCCACCGTGCACAACCCTGTGTGAATGCCATTAAAACCAGAGGTTCCTTATCTCATGGAGCTGCCCTGAGCAGTGTCACAGCTGCCACAGGTGCCACGTGTGTGTAGTGCTGGCAGCAGACAGCCCATGGCAGCCGAGTTCTGTGTGTGGCACTTCTCGCGGGGACCTTCTAACTCTTACGTCCTTCTCTCTGCCCCATCACAGGTGCTTTGCTGTTAGGAGGGATCCTTTACTCCTGGCAGTTCCCTCACTTCAACGCCCTGAGCTGGGGCCTGCGGGAGGATTACTCCAGAGGAGGATACTGTATGATGTCTGTCACCCACCCGGGGCTCTGCAGGAGGGTGGCTCTGCGACACTGCTTGGCCTTAATCGGACTCTCGGCGGCAGCTCCTGTCCTCGACATCACCACGTGGACTTTCCCCATCATTTCACTCCCCATCAACCTCTACATCTCCTACCTCGGCTTTCGGTTCTACAGGGATGCAGATCGCAGCAGCTCCAGGAAGCTCTTCTTCTGCAGCCTCTGGCACCTGCCCATGCTGCTGCTGGTCATGTTCACCTGCAAGAAATCGGCCCTGGAGAAGGAAGACAAAGGCGACCTGCTGGGAAAGGGGGAAAGTCATGGGAGGGCTATGGAAATTAGATTGCCTTAAATGTCGATTGTATGTTGTCCTCGTGACACATCAGGTAGTTTATTTTAGTAATCACAGTGGGGAATCCTGTGGGAATCTGTTTGAGGAAGAATCGTTCGTGCCTAGCGACCACTTCATGCGATGATTTTCTATTTTCTTTTGCGAGGGAGTAGCCAGGAGAGCTCAAAGCACTCAGGGGCCTCAGGCCCCTTCACTCATCCCAGACTAGGATTTTGCTTTGGGGTGGCCTTCTGAAGTCCCTGTGAGCCGTGGTCTCTGTCCTCGTGGGTGGTGGGGTAGTTCACGAGTCACATGCGCACACGTTTCCCCGCCAGCACTGGCAGCCTTGGCGAAGCCGTCAGGGAGCAACCCTGGAATGATTTCTCACCCTGCTCCCCAAGCACCCTCTCCTTTAATTTAAGCTTTGAGGCACACAGTGGGTTGGGGTTTTGTCTCAATCCTTGCCATCCCTGCACTGGTGTCACACCAAACCAAACTTTTGGGGGCTTTTTTCAGTCAGTTGCTTTTCCTGAGGTTCCCCTTCACCCCAGTAGATTTTTGGCTTGCATACAACTGGCACAGTGCTAAAGGAGAGAAGAAAACTGCCTTTCAGCACAGCACACACCAGCATTTAAACACCCTCCAGGTGAAAGCTCTCCTGTAGCACATCCCTTGGACACACTGAGCCATTCTGCTGTACTTCCATCACAGGGAACTTCTGGGTCCTACGTGGTTTTACATCATCAGAGCTTGAGCCCTGGGTGTCAGATCTTCAGCTGGTAAAAATCACCATTAGTGTTTATGGCAGTGAGGCTGTGAAAGGTGGAGGAGGTGGGAAGCAGATCCCAGAGTCAGGTGGTTGTGAGGATTTTCCATGCTCATGTGTCTTGTGCCAGCGCATTCGGTCTCGGCGTCCTCTCATGAGCCCTGGACTGGCATCAAGAGTTTGAGCTCTATTTAATGTCACACTGTGGTGGCTCAGAGAAAGGCTTCACTTTGAGGGTAATTAATAGGTAAGGAAACACATTTACAGAAAAAAGGTTGTGGATTTAGCCTAATACTGTAATGTTCACTTGCTGCTGCAGCCTGTGTCCCTCCAAAGCAATTACTGTGGATGGTCTCCCGAGGAAAGTGCATTATCTCTGTTATCTGATACACTGAAGAACATTTCTGGCCACAGTGCTTGTGATCCTGCTGCAGGGCTGTGGCTCACCCTCAGCCTGCCTGAGGCTGGCTGTGACCTGCTGGGATGCTCCCAGACACAGCAGCACCCAGGGCAGACAGAGACGGGGATAGTTTATTGTGGTAGTCAGTGCCTGTTACGACTTGATGTGTTCCCATGCCAAGATTTCTTTCCCATGTGGAAAGGGGCTGGGCAGCAGGTTGAGCATCAATCCAAAGATACAGCAACACCTGAAATGGGAGACACTGTCTCGAACCTGATCCCGAGTAAAATCCTTGAGGAAACGTCACAAATCTGCCACCACAGGTGTCTCACACTGACACAGAACCTTCCCTGGCTGCTCTCGGGATCCAGGCCTGACTCCTGGTCTGGGTTACGCTGGTGTAAATCAGGAGTGACACGGTTTAGCCTCTGCTGTGCTGGCAGAGGTGCTCTCAGGAGCAGGGCCACCTGTTTTATGTGGCTCTTAAATAATTGGCTGCGGGGTTTGGTGACTCTGGAGTGATTGCAGATGACAGGCTGGAGTCCCCTCTCACTGTCTGACAGGTCTGTTGTGCTCAGGTTACTGTGGGCAGCACTTCGTGGAACTGCCTGGAAACTGTGCAACTCCTGAATTTGTTTTAAAAATGCATCCAGTCTTCTCTGCAATAAAGTACAGACTGTACAAAAAGAGATGAACACTCCAAATCTGTTTTATAGTGTCCACTTATGATTGGAACTCTGGTCCAGTTCAGTTAATTGCAAAGGTATTTGGTGTTTCTGTGGCACTGCTCACAGCAGCATGTTCTTGATCACTGCAAGAGCTTGTGAAATACTGATTTATTGTGCAAGCAGCGACTGAAACTAAGTTGCATGTGAGTGGAAAGGGTTTGTGCGAAACCAAAGAATTTGGTCAACCTTAAGCTGACAGAGGAACCTGAAAAGAGCAAATGGCCTACAAAAAAAGTCACAGATTTTGCTCCCAGAGGCAGAAAGTGGTGCTGAAGCAGGAAGGTTGTGGTTTTCTCCTAAGTCATTCCAGAGCCAGGCTTCAGATGGCCTGCGAGTCCCGGGTGCTGTCCTGAGGAATTCCATTCTGATTAAAGGTCCCAAGGACATGCCTGTGGTTGAGCTTGTAAGAACAGTCATCTTCATTTCTAGGGCCAAAATGTGTAACATTCACAGGGGTTAGGGCTAGACAGGAGCTTTGTAATCATCCCTGAGTGTCTGCAGAATGCAGGTCACCGAGCTGCACCAACATCTCCACACCCAGTGAGTCTGGCCTGGAGAAAAAGCATGGCTTTAGAATCAGTGGATCTGGGGTTTAAAGGTAAGAAATACTTAATAAAATAAGCTTTTTTTTGCCTAGGAGGTGTTCCCTGCTCTGCTGCAAACTAGCCATAAACAGATGAAGCCATCTACTGCCATTTTACTGCCTTTTGGGAGTGTTGCTGTTGCATGTGCTTTGAAAATAAACACCTGGCCAAACTGAAGCCTTTTTTGCAAATGGATAGTGCAGCAGGTGCTCTCAGGTCTCCTTTTCAATATTGCTGTTGCCACTGTGGAAATTAAAAGTCCTGAGCTGTCTGCCCTCATCCAAGGGTGTTTGTGGTCCCTGTGAGGATCAATGGCAGCCTTACCCCCTCCAGCACTGCTAATATTGCTGCCCAAATCCTGCAGGGAAAGAGGCAGGTGAGGTGCATGAGATGCCTTTCCATGATGGCTTTGCACAGGAGATAAAGTTGGGCTTCCTGCATCTCTCTGCTGGGCCCTGCAAGCATCAGGCTTTGCACGGCTCCTTGAACCTGAAACAGCAGTTCCTGCTTAAAATTGCAATGTTTTCTTTTCTTTGTCCCATTTGGAGAACTTGAATATGGGTTGGTTGTCATCCCCTTATCCTGGTTACTCAGGATCTCCCCCTGAATTGGTCCTGCAGAATCACTGAGTGGTTTGGGTTGGAAGGGACCTTAAAGACCAGCTCGTTCCAAGCCCCTGCTGTGAAATACCTGGTCTCTATGTGGCAGTGAAAAAAACAGCAGTGATGTGCCCTGTCCCTCCTAGCCCTGGGTCTGCTGAGGGGTCCCATCTCGGTGCTGCTGTCACAACAGGCAGCTCTGCACCACCAGGAGCTGGAGTAGAGCTCACATAGGAACCTGGGCCAGAGACTCAAGAGGATGAAGCTGGTTTTAGTCTGTTTGGACTTTAAACCTTTCGTGTGGTTTTGTGGATAAAACAGTAGCCCTGGGGCTCAGGGGATCTTCATTCTTTCCAGACCTCTGCAGAAGAAATGCACTCCAGCTGTGAAACAGGGATGGAGGTGCTTCACCTTACTGGAGGAGGGAACAGCTCATGTCTTTGTCAGCCCTGGCCTGTTATTCTCTCCATCAGTGCAGGGTGAGCGCTGGGTCAGGCTTTGAGGAGCATTGCAGAGAGCTGGTCCTGGATTCCCCCACATCCCTGCTTTGCCCTGACCTTCAGCAGATCTCTGAGCACAGCACTGACCCCGCAGGGCGCGGTGAGGAGCCGAGTGACACAGCCGGGAGTTGTCCCGAGCTCTTGGGTTTGCAGGGAGCCCCCAGGTCCCATGTGAGCTCACACAGTACCCTGACACTGCTGCCATCCCAGTGCCCCTGACTGCTGCCATCCCAGCACAGCAGCAGTTGGTGTGGCTCTGCTCTTTGTTCCAGCATGAATGAGGAAACCCAATCCCAGCGCTCACAGCGCTTTCCCGCTTGTTTCCCCCACTGAGGGTTTTTTTTCCTCGCTTCCTGTATCAGTCTCCGATATAATCTGCCCCAGCAGAGTCACACATTCACACTCTCCTGTCTCCAGCAGCGTTTCCCACTCAGCCAGGCCACAGCACTTCAAGGCTTACACAAAACACACACGTCCTTTTCAGTTCCGAGCGATCCCAGGAGAGCAGGAATGGAAACAAGAGTGATACTATTAGAAATCATTATCATTACAGATAGAAAGCATGTTGTCCTGGTTGCTCTCCAGAGGTGATTAGATATTCCCTCTTCCTTGGAAATGCAGGCTGTCTACAGAACACTTGGCTATTAAAACAGAGATATCAGCACTGTTTTCCTCCCGAGCAGCTCTGCTGGAGGTGGTAATACTAGACAGGCTGTCCCCAGTGGCATTTCTAGTCATGGAATTTCTTAACCAGGCAAAAAGCCAGCCCAGTCAAGGGCTCATGGGATGCAGGATGCCACTTGTGCTGCCCGTGGGACCTTGAGTTGGTTGTTTTGCCTCTTGGAGCTGCTATTTCTTCTTGCAGTCCTGGCAAGGTCAGTGCTGCAGGGCAGGGCTTGGCCCCTGTGGGTGCATGTGCAGCACTTGGCCCTGCCCAAGACAAGTCAGACTCTGGTTCTAATGTTCATCATCTCCCTAACAGTGGTGTTAGTTTGGAGTCAGAGGTGACAGCTGAGTGGTGAGGTCAGAAGTGTCACTGGTGAGGACACTCCTCTGTGAGATCCCTCAGACGGGGCCTTGCTGGGTGGTTCCCTCGATGTGTTTTAGTCCCCTCTGAAACAAATGTGCTACAGGTTTCTAGGGCTTTGACATGAGGTCTAGCAAGCCTTGGAGCTGCTTTCCAGACCCTTCTGTTCACAGAAGCACAGAATAGTCAGGGCTGGAAGGGATCTCTGGGGATCCTCCAGTCCAACCCCCTCCCCACGCAGGGTCACCTGGAGCAGGTGACACAGGAACATGTCCAGGTGGGGTTGGAATGTCTCCAGAGAGGGAGACTCAAGGCCCTCTCTGGGAAGCTGCTCCAGTGCTCTGCCACCATCTGTGGGAAGAAGTTCTTCCTCACGTTGAGGTAGAACTTGCTGTGTCTTAGTTTATGGCCATTGGTCCTTGTCCTGTCACTGGGCACCACTGACAAGAGTCTGGCACCATCCCCTGACACCCACCTCGGAGATGTTTGTGTGGATTGATGAGATCCCCTCTCAGTCTTCTCTTCTCCAGGCTAACCAGGCCCAGCTCCTGCAGTCTCTCCTCATCAGAGAGATGCTGCAGTCCCTTAATCATCTTTGTGGCTTCCACTGGTCACGTTCTCCCTGACTCAAAGGAAAGGAGTCCTGTTGAGCAGGGCATGTGCAGGGTGTCCCAAAGCCATTTAAAGCACTGGCAGAGTAACCTGTGTTTCAAAGAGCTGGCAGGAGCACCTCTCATCAGCTCCACCTCACACACTGCCTGTCACCTCTGCTTTTCTGCTTCCAGACTTTAACTGTTTGCACTGAAGATTTTCCAGCCTGGGCCGGTGCCTCAGGCTGGGATTTAGTTTCCAGTGTTTCAAAAAGGCACAGTTCAACTGTTTCACAGAGCAGGGTTGGCAGAACGAGCTGTTTTCCCACAATGTGGAGATGTTTTTCCTCCTGCTCCCAACCAGTTCTGGCACCCCCAGGCCTTGGAGCGAGAACTGAGGGTTTGGCAGTGGGCTCAGGTTGGTGCATTCATCCGTTCTGGGAAGGTACTGGGTGTTACCCCAGTCCCTGAAAGGTCACAGCTCCCAAATTCCTGACACCTCCAAAGAGATGCTCTGAGTGTGGTGGTCCTGGACCATCCCAAGGAGCTGGTGAGGAGCTGCTGTCACAGTTCCTGTGCTTTGGGGGAGCACAAGGACTGAAAAGAGGTGCTAGAAAGGAGGGTGCCTGGCCCTCACCACTACTGCTGGAACCATTGCCCTACATCCATACCTGTTTTCCCATTTTTCCAGGAGCCCTTCTTCAGTCCTGCCCATCGAGTGAGGCAGAGTGTGGTACCCAAAGGTTTCTATGTGTCTCCAAAGTGCCCCAGGGACTGGGGCCAGTTCAGTGGTTATGGCTTTTCCCCTGGTTTCACTGTCCCAGGCACATCCCAAGGTCCTCTCTGCCCCCTGCTCTCCTTTTTAACACGTTCTGTTTTAACTACAGCTTCCCTTTGATACCTTTTTTCATGGAATATGTGCTATAACATGCATTGCCTGTGCCCCTTGGAACTGCAGCTGTAACTGGACTGTCTGTTCTTCAAGAGAAACAAAAATTTTGAGGAATTTCCCTGGCTGATTGGGAACAGCAGGGATCTGATCTCCCACACTGACCAACCTGTCCCTGACTGGGACCCCTGGGCACATCTTGCCCATCTTGCTCATCCAAAAAGCAAGAAGTGGGAAGAAGGGAGGAGGCATCCCTGCAGGTGGGGTGGGGAGAGACCAGACTGGTGCCAGGGGAGCACAGAGCTCCCAGCCAGGCAGGACGGGCTCCACCACTGACCCTTCTAAAAGTGCAGGATGCAGACACACACGGCACTCAAAGCTCATTTGCAAGGAAGTGTCTGGCACAGGGATCTGCCTTTTGTTTTCTGAGCAAGGGGGGAAATCAAGATTTGTGCGTCTGGGAGATGTTTGGGATTTTTTTATTACTTTTTTTTTTTTTCCGGGGAGAGGAGGCACTGTATCAAATTAAACTTGAAACGGAGATGCAAACGAGGTGATTAAGGTGTTTCCGCCGTGCTTCCAGGGGAGCTGCTGGACGGCATCCAGAGCGGGGAAGGGAACAGCCCGAGTTTATCAGCTGAGCTCCGAGGTTCGCAGGGACTCTCGCAGTGCGGAGCCGCCAGGGGCTGGGTGAGCGACGCTCTTGGCCATCCCCGCACTGAGTCACTCCCAGCAACACCGCAGGGACACCGAGGGATGCCGGGGACAAACGGGATGCCCAGGGCCA